GTGATTGATATCATGAGCATCGATCCACGCAATTTGGATCGATGAAATGCATCAACCAAGTCAGGGAGCCTCACCACCCGATCCCGTTAAGTCGCCTCTTACGACAAGCATAGTCACCTTATTCATATAGTGGCCATCCTTAAGTCTAAAAAACCTCTTAAGTGAGGTCTCAAAATCAGGGGGTATGGGGACTTATCGCCTGTGGGGATGCGAGATGAGGAACTAAACCATAGCTGTGAAGCAAACACAAAACCAAGAGTGACTAATCTCCCCACCAGTCATGTCCGGTGAATCAGTAATCTTCATAACTCTCCATCCTGGGAGTAACTTCCAAAGCAACACTTAACAGCTCAAATAACATTGCAAATCACAGTTGAGAAAGGGTTTGGGAGTTCTACTGATTTAAACAGTTTTTCATTAATATCAAGGCATGTTAGCTTAATGTGAGAAAGGTTAAAGTGACGCCGGTGGAGAAACCCATGTATGAGATCATAATATGTATGCATCTAAGATGAGCTGATCCTGGTACAACAAAGGGATGCAACTCTGCACAGCATATTCCAGCACCGAAGATGACAGGGCCACCCTGGTTAACCGGACAACCCCTAAGTCATGAATAACGAGGAATATGCACAAAAGATCAAATATTAAGAACTGCCAAAACAAATCATGTAAACAGAAAAAAAATGTCAAACCCTGCAAAATCTTAATTCAGTTGTGAATATGTCATGATTAAAATTGCACAAGTGGGCTGCACTAACAAATTCCCAACCATAAAAAAACATGTAGGAACCATCATTAAAATCTACAAAGATCAGATAGAAGCGACATAAGCAACAGACGCGATTCATTAACACTGAAATGGCTATCTATCAAGACAGTCTTGTCTGGCTAACACAGATTTAACCAGCTGCAGTCCTGAATCTATCAAAATGCACCAGAAGGAAGTTGAGGAGCGATTCCCCTGACATCATTTATGGCGCATATATGTTAAAAATATTCCTGATAGATAAGCTCCCAAGCTCCAGCGGCTGACTGCACTGGGTGGCCCGGAAATGGCAGAAACTAACTGCCTGGACAAAAAATCAGAAAACCTAGCTCACGTTTATCATTGATGATTCAAGCTTATAAAGTTGCGTGAAGCAGATGCATGATGGGTAGAGTCAGACCAGGTGGCACATTTTCGGAATAGTCCGACTGGGTGTTTCAGGAAGTTTCAAGATATAACTTATCTCAATTTCTCAAGTCCCCCAAGGAAAACATAAGCGAGTTTAAACTTTATCAGGTTTTTTCACGGAAGGAATTTCATCAAGTTCAGACAAATTGTTTATCTTTTGATGTGCTGGGTCACTGCACAAAAACATATTCTTCAACCTCCAAGTTGCTGCAATGAACATCCAAACTGATATTTCTGTTGGATAATCTTGACATGCGGAGACAAAGAGCCTCTAAAACGACAATGGCATCTTCTATCAACATTTTTTACAAGTCTGCAAGAAACCAGACCCGAACAAGAACAGCTGTTATATATTTTTGTACAGGCTACAGTTCCTGACTGACACAGAAGCATGCTGGGATTGAGTGCTTTCAAAAACTATTTAATCAGTGTTCCATTCACATACAGTAATAAGTTTTCACAAGTTACATACACTTTTTTTTAAATAGCCATGGATGCAAACATTTCCAAATTGAAATGTGAATACTCGTTTATTACTGTGGAACAGTGCTTTGACACAACTCTGTCATGCTTACAAGATATCAATGCTTACTCACTGGCAAAGACAAATCATTCTCTGCATTACTGGCTGGTACTGGTATAACAGTGATCTATCACAAATACCCAGTACATTTTGAGTTGCTTCGAGCAAATACACATGAAATTATTTTTTTAAATAGTATTGAAACACTGCAAAATTACCCTTTGTATCCTTTTCAACTTGTGTGCATGCATTTCTATAGAGATCTATTTTTACAGGCATCACAGACCTCAAATAGGTCCACCCTACTGTTGTGAATAATTCATAAACAAGAAGTTATTCCTTGCCTATAGGTGACTTGTTTGTTTGTTTGTTTGTTTGGTGTTTATAGCTGCACTGAGCAATCTTCCAGCTATTTGACCACAGTCTGTAAATAATCAAGTCTGGACAAGACAATCCAGTGATTGACATCATGAGCATCTATCCACGTAATTGGGATACGATGACATGTATCTACCAAGTCAGCGAGCCTGACCACTTAATCCCATTAGTTGCCTTTTACTTAAAGCATAGTCACCTGTTACGGCAAGCATGGGTTGCTGAAGACCTATTCTACCCCGGGTCTTCACAGGTCACTTATTGTTAACTAGACATGTAGGTCAATGTTGTGAGTGAGTGAGTGAGTGAGTTGGGTTTTACGCCGCTTTTAACAATATTCCAGTGATGTCGCGGCGTGTCAGCTTAATGTGGGAGGAAAGCCGGAAGTGATGCAGGTCTCAGACGTTTACCACTTCGGTGAAACCCACGAGCACGGGTATGGTGCTGACAAACCTAGAAACATAATCAGGGCGAACCGGGATTCGACCCCACGATCATAGGTTTCTGGCGTGCACAAGGGACGCAACTCTGCACAGCGAATCGCGGCGCCTTAGACGACTGGGCCACCTGTGCCCCCCAGATCAATGTTGTGAGTTAATGTGGCATGCTGCACGTTTGGGGCAACAGACAGACTCATACAAATTAGAAGTTACCTGAAACAGAATTTTTCTAAAAAATGTTAACTCATTTGACCCAAGGGATTAAAAACATACTGAATACCCAGAGAAAACTATCAATACCCAATGTGAATGATAATTTGTGAGTAAATACTCAATGGCTCAAAACACTACCTGGAGCCCTGAACAAGGAGTTCATTATTGTTCACAGAGGATCCGGATGGAGAATAGGTCTTCAGCAACCCATGCTTGCCGTAAAAGGCGACTATGCTTGTCATAAGAGGGGACTAACGGGACCGGGTGGTCAGGCTTGCGTGGATTGATGCTCATGATATCAATTACTAAATTGTCTCATCCAAACTTATTATTTACAGACCAGTGTAAGAAAGCTCGAAAAGTGACCAGTTATACAACCAACAAACACAACGTTACATATGGTAACATCTCCAAATGTCCTGATTCACACAGTAATACTCCCAAATGTCCCTATTTTGGATAGTAGCACTTCCTACATGTTCTCCAGTTGTGGAGAATACCAACCCTAAATTTCCCCTGTTGAGGAGAATACCACTCCTAAATGTCCCCCTGTTGAGAGTACCACAACCAAATGTCCCCCTGTTGAAGAGTGTACCACTCCTAAATGCCCTCCTGTTGAGAGTACCAACTCAAAATCTCCCCCTGTTGAAGAAAGTACCACTCCTAAATGTCTCCCTGTTGAGAGTACCAACTCCAAATCTCCCCCTGTTGAAGAAAGTACCACCCCTAAATGTCCCCCTGTTGTGAGAACCACCCCCAAATGTCTTCCTGTTGAGGAGAGCACTATCACCATATTTCCTCCTGTTGCGAAGAATACCATCGCCAAATGTCCCAGTTGAAGAAAGTGCCACTCCTAAATGTCCCCTGTTGAGAGTACCAACTCCTTAATGTTCCCCTAGTGAGAGTACCACAACCAAATGTCCCCCTGTTGAAGAGTGTACCACTCCTAAATGCCCTCCTGTTGAGAGTACCAACTCAAAATCTCCCCCTGTTGAAGAAAGTACCACTCCTAAATGTCCCCCTGTTGAGAGTACCAACTCAAAATGTCCTCCTGTTGAGAGTACCAACTCCAAATCTCCCCCTGTTGAAGAAAGTACCACCCCTAAATGTCCCCGTTGTGAGAACCACCCCCAAATGTCTTCCTGTTGAGGAGAGCACTATCACCATATTTCCTCCTGTTGCGAAGAATACCATCGCCAAATGTCCCAGTTGAAGAAAGTGCCACTCCTAAATGTCCCCTGTTGAGAGTACCAACTCCTTAATGTTCCCCTAGTGAGAGTACCACAACCAAATGTCCCCCTGTTGAAGAGTGTACCACTCCTAAATGCCCTCCTGTTGAGAGTACCAACTCAAAATCTCCCCCTGTTGAAGAAAGTACCACTCCTAAATGTCCCCCTGTTGAGAGTACCAACTCAAAATGTCCTCCTGTTGAGAGTACCAACTCCAAATCTCCCCCTGTTGAAGAAAGTACCACCCCTAAATGTCCCCGTTGTGAGAACCACCCCCAAATGTCTTCCTGTTGAGGAGAGCACTATCACCATATTTCCTCCTGTTGCGAAGAATACCATCGCCAAATGTCCCCGTTGAAGAAAGTACCACTCCTAAATGTCCCCCTGTTGAGAGTACCAACTCCTAAATGTCCCTCTTTTGAGAGTACCACCCCTAAATGTCCCCCTGTTGAGAGTACCAACTCCAAATGTCCTCCTGTTGAGAGTACCAACTCCAAATCTCCCCCTGTTGAAGAAAGTACCACCCCTAAATGTCCCCCTGTTGTGAGTACCACCCCAAACGTCCCCGTTGAAGAGTACCACTCCTAAATGACCCCCTGTTGAGAGTACCACCCCAAATGTCCCCGTTGAAGAGAGTACAACTCCTAAATGACCCCTTGTTGAGAGTACCAACCCCAAATGTCTCCTTGTTGAGGAGAGCACCATCACCATATGTCCTGTTGCAAAGAATACCATCGCCAAATGTTCCTCCGTTGAAGAGAGTACCACTCCTTAATGACCCCTTGTTGAGAGTACCACCCCCAAATGTCTCCTTGTTGAGGAGAGCACCATATGTCCTGTTGCGAAGAATACCATTGCCAAATGTTCCTCCGTTGAGGAGAGTACCACCCCCAAATGTTTCCCCCTTGAGAGAACCACGCCTATATGTCCCTGTGTTTGAAATACCATCCCTTAAAGTACTCCATCTGTTGCCAGTAGCACTCCCAAAATATGTGTGAGAGAATACATTGATTCACCACTGAAATGACATGTACCATACATACCAGCAGGTGCCTTGATCCATGCGAGAAAATCCAAGAATAAAAATATTGTATCCCTCCCATGTACTCAGTGTAAAGAATCAATGATGACATTCAAAACTTGCTTGCCCTAACCAACAACTACTCCCATAAATAATTAATGTCAGAAAACAAATGTCAACGATCACATGGCCAAATTAATCAAAGTTTAAATTCATCTTCCCTTCTCCTCTCCTACAGCACAAGGCCCTGAACATGAATAAAGGTTCCAGTCAACCTGTCCAGCTCGCCCAGCCAGAGACCCCCTGCAGAGATTTACCTGTAACAGGTACCCCCCACAAAGCTAACTCACCTGTATACAGTAATCAGCTCGTCAATTTGTTGCTGGACTCCTACAGGAGGCCCTGGGGGTCAGTCGAGGAGGGGAAAAGCCGACATTGGCTATTGATCTCAGCTGAGTGGGGGGTCAGGTATTAATCGGGATTGGAAGTGATTAACACATCAACTAACACGCTTATCTCACTGCTCGTATACTATACATTATATACCATGCCTGTCTGACCCGTTGTATACTATACATTATATACCATGTCTATGTCACTGGTTGTATACTATACATTCATGTCTGACCCATTGTATACTATACATTATATACCATGCCTGTCTGACCCGTTGTATACTCTACATTATATACCATGCCTGTCTGACCCGTTGTATACTTTACATTATATACCATGCCTGTCTGACCCGTTGTATACTATACATTCATATACCATGTCTATGTCACTGGTTGTATACTATACATTCATGTCTGACCCGTTGTATACTATACATTATATACCATGCCTGTCTGACCCGTTGTATACTATACATTATATACCATGTCTGTCTGACCCGTTGTATACTATACATTATATACCATGCCTGTCTGACCCGTTGTATACTATACATTCATATACCATGTCTATCTCACCAGCTGTATACTATACATTCATATACCATGTCTATCTCACCAGTTGTATACTGTACATTCATATACCATGTCTATCTCACCAGTTGTATACTGTACATTCATATACCATGTCTATCTCACTGGCTGTGCAGTATACATCACATACTATGCCTCTCTCTTACAAGTGGAGTGGTCAATGTAGCCAAGTGGTTCAAGCACTGTATACTATACACTAATATACCATGTCTATCTCACCAGTTGTATACTATACATTCATATACCATGTCTATCTCACCAGTTGTATACTGTACATTCATATACCATGTCTATCTCACCAGTTGTATACTGTACATTCATATACCATGTCTATCTCACCAGTTGTATACTGTACATTCATATACCATGTCTATCTCACCAGTTGTATACTGTACATTCATATACCATGTCTATCTCACCAGTTGTATACTGTACATTCATATACCATGTCTATCTCACCAGTTGTATACTATACACTAATATACCATGTCTATCTCACCAGTTGTATACTATACATTCATATACCATGCCTGTCTCACTGGTTGCATACTATACACTAATATACCATGTCTATCTCACTGGCTGTGCAGTATACATCACATACTATGCCTCTCTCTTACAAGTGGAGTGGTCAATGTAGCCTAGTGGTTCAAGCACTGTATACTATACACTAATATACCATGTCTATCTCACCAGTTGTATACTGTACATTCATATACCATGTCTATCTCACCAGTTGTATACTGTACATTCATATACCATGTCTATCTCACCAGTTGTATACTATACACTAATATACCATGTCTATCTCACCAGTTGTATACTATACATTCATATACCATGCCTGTCTCACTGGTTGCATACTATACACTAATATACCATGCCTGTCTGACCCGTTGCATACTATACATTCATATACCATGTCTATCTCACTGGCTGTGCAGTATACATCACATACTATGCCTCTCTCTTACAAGTGGAGTGGTCAATGTAGCCAAGTGGTTCAAGCATTACCTCACTCACTCAAACAAGTCGTAGATAACATTTCTATTCCATGCCTCTCTTCATCTCTTGATCAGGTGATGCTTCGACAATACACTTTCAACAACTATTTAACAATTTCAAACACTGTACCAAATAAAAAAACATATTGTAGATTTGTGAAATCGGTGACCTCTATTTATTTAGTTATACATTAAAATCCTGATGTATCAGATGAGTAGACAAGATACCATTATTGTATGTACTTCTAAATAAGTGCAAAAATCAAAAGAAATTGAAAATAATGAGTCGAAAAGACAATACTGGTATTACTATACCTACTGACATTTTACTTGTCCATTATATGTGTTAAATATTTTACAATGTTTTTCGACATGGTGTACTGATATGGCAAAAAAAATACTTAGATAGCATGCCCTTTTAATAGGAAACAGATACAGACATCAAACCTGCAGACGTTCCATGTCTGACAAATAGTAGAGGCAAGTTTTTACTTGTTGATACAAGTATCATTCACAGTCACACCTGAAGTAACAAGTAACGATTCTTAACATAAATGTTTGCTTTAATTAATGTTTCACCAAACACTAATTAGAAGTGACAATTTACTAGTGAAAACGTCAACATTTTCATCCATTGCGCCATACTTCACACTGCCAGCTGTAAATCGTCAGTGTGCCAGGAGTTTGGCCACCCTGTCAATGATTTGGTTGGTTGGTTGGTTGGTTTGTTGTTAAACGCCACACTCAGCAATATTCCAGCTATATGACGGCGGTCTGTATATAATCGAGTCTGGACCAGACAATCCAGTGATTAATATCATGAGCATCGATCCACGCAATTGGGATACGATGACATGCATCAACCTAGTCAGCGAGCCTGACCACCCGATCCCGTTAGTCGCCTTTGACGACAAGCATAGTCGCCTTTCACAGCAAGCATGGGTCTATTCTACCCCGGATCTTCACGGGTCACCCAGTCAATGAAAATGATGGCTTATGGGCCACAGATAATTGTGTGCATGCAGGGGTAGGATACGTATCAGATCGTCAGCAAGGTATCGTGATATGTATCAAAACTCACAATTGGTGTATCGTCCTAGCCCCAGTGATGAATGAGTGAGTTTGGTTTTCCAGACAGAACATAGTGTGTGATGGTAATAGGCTTCACATGAAACCACGATTAGCCAATGTTTCATGTGGGGTAGTGTCACATTTTCATTATACAGTTTGCTTGTTTGGTTGTTGTTTAACATCGCACTCAGCAATATTCCAGCATTATGACGGATATCTGAAAATAACTCGAATCTTCACTGGTGTCATTATCCAGCAGACAGTACAACTTCGAGAGTCATACAACTTTAACATGATAAAAGTAACTACAAGATCTGGCTAGGTTCTGTATTTCCTGACTAAACGTTGTGTATCAATGTTATCGTCAGACACAGGGCATCTAAGGTCACACATTTTGTAATATTTCATTTTACAGATTGACCAATTGCACTGATGAACGACATGGACATCACATATATGTGATTATAAATGATTTTTTTTATTCAGTTTGCTCACCAATTCCGCTGACTTGTAAATAATTAAACACAAAAATATTCATAATCTGTTTGCGAACAGTCAAGATATTTCATTTCTGGAATAATTAAAACCAAACACTAAACTATGGAGCTCTGAAAAAATGTTTTTTATTTTCATTTCGACCCAATTAATTAGTCGCAAAAGTTGTAAACCATCGAATTAAAAGTGTTTGGCCTGATCATTCATAATTATTTTCATTGCAGATTGTTGAAGTTAGAGCGCTTGTTTTGCACAGCATATACACCCACTAGGAGCACGCTTGGTGACTGCATGCTGCTTGATGAGGTCGTACCAGGTTGGGCTCAGTGCTAAAACCTTCGTATTAAAGGTGAGGGGAGATGGGGTTTAACGTCGCATCCAAAATTATTGCACTTATATAGCGATTTGCATGCACGTGTGTGATTGTTTGTGGTTGCTTGTACTAGTGCCGATTTATAGTGCTAGCACACTAATATACCATGCCTGTCTCACCAGTTGTATACTGTACATTCATATACCATGTCTATCTCACTGGCTGTGCAGTATACATCACATACTATGCCTCTCTCTTACAAGTGGATTGGTCAATGTAGCCTAGTGGTTCAAGCACTGTATACTATACACTAATATACCATGTCTATCTCACCAGTTGTATACTATACACTAATATACCATGTCTATCTCACCAGTTGTATACTATACATTCATATACCATGTCTATCTCACCAGTTGTATACTATACACTAATATACCATGCCTGTCTCACCAGTTGTATACTGTACATTCATATACCATGTCTATCTCACTGGCTGTGCAGTATACATTACATACTATGCCTCTCTCTTACAAGTGGAGTGGTCAATGTAGCCAAGTGGTTCAAGCACTGTATACTATACACTAATATACCATGTCTATCTCACCAGTTGTATACTGTACATTCATATACCATGTCTATCTCACTGGCTGTGCAGTATACATTACATACTATGCCTCTCTCTTACAAGTGGATTGGTCAATGTAGCCTAGTGGTTCAAGCACTGTATACTATACACTAATATATAAATGACTTAACTTTTGATAGGGATCCCCAGCTATGTCATTCTATTTAAATATACACTTGACATATACTCACTGACAAAAGAAATGCGTATACCATACATGTTGGTTAATATATGAAGAATTACTCATATTCAAGATGTTACATTGGTTCGATGCACAAAGGAACATACTGTTATGTTGTGTGAACCGATGCTCATGAAAGCATCACATGTGATGTCATGGATCCATGATTCGAGATGCACCATTTGTATAGTGAGTGAGTGAGTGAGTGAGTGAGTGAGTTGGGTTTAACGCCGCTTTTAACAGTATTCCAGTTATATCGCGGCGTGTCAGCTTAATGTGGGAGGAAAGCCCGAAGTGATGCAGGTCTCAGACGTTTACAACTTCGGTGAAACCCACGAGCACGGGTATGGTGCTCACAAACCTAGAAACATAATCGGGGCGAACCGGGATTCGAACCCACAATCATAGGTTTCTGGCGTGCCCAAGGGACGCAACTCTGCACAGCGAATCGCGGCGCCTTAGACGATATATATATATACACACATATATATTGTATTGTGTACCCATGGCAACCTTACTAACAAGGGCCCTGTTTCACAAA